TCAGATGAATAGTCTAGTAAATTGTACAGGTATCTAGTCTGGTTCAACGATAAAAGCAGAGGAATTCTCTTAAAGGTCAGAACTGTCTCTTAGTAATTGGCTTTATCACAATCATGGATTGCAGTTTTGTTCATTAAAAATTTGCTGGCTTCATTTAATCTGATTTTGCCTTGTGGGAATTTATTCTCAGAGCATTAAAAACATGACTATGTGAGTGTGTAAAGAGAGTGTGCTTCACATTTCCTTTTTGAATGATCATCCTGTTGTGACTTCTACATACAATGTAGAACTTTCTTTGGGGGTCTGACATGTAATACTTCTACACAACTTATTGATTGAAAGACCTGCTGGTCCAACATATTACACACAGCTGGATCCGACACTCACCCACACTTTCACTCCTCGTCTGCGATTTAATTCAGCGAATCGCCTCATTATGCATATAATATGCCAGCTCTAGTCAAGGACACCAGTGCTGACGGCTTTAATTAAGCACCACTGCCAGTGTTCTTTTTTTTTTTTCTTTTTTCTAGTTTGCTGTTATTTTGTTCACTGAAAATATGTCTGACCGTCTGGAGGACATGACTGCCATGATAACACATAGCAACAGCACTTGAGGCTACATCATTATTTTAATGAATCTGCCCGAGAGAACAGGTTCTGTGCAGAGGTGATGACCAGCAGTAAACAAAACTAAACCATTCCTGTTTTTACACTAAAACCTAGCTGAAATGTTTAATGCTTTACATCAGTGTGAAGTGAGAGTTATATATAAAAAAAAAAAAAAAAAAAAAAGGTCTTGTAGCTTTTGATGCTCTTAAAATATTTGTACAGGAACAGAAAATAAATCGGATGAGCAGCAAAAAAAACAAAAAAAAAAAACAAAAACCAGAGTGTATTCCAGAAAAAAACCCCAAAAACTACAGAATGCCATTTCAGGGCAATATTAAATCCATAAGTATGAGTTAATAAATAAATGATATATCTTCCATTTATAGTTTTTTGGAGGATTGGAGCAGACAGCATCTTAAACTGTTACATTACTTATATGGAGGACTGAATTACTTATGGATAAAATTATGAATTATTCGCGAAATAAAAGTGTGATCAAACAGATTATATCCTGCACACACATTATGATTTCATTACCTTCATGTAGTTGTGTGCACGAAGTAATTTTCATCTTGTGATTTAAAATAATAAAATGCAAAGGAATAGTATGTGCTGGATCAAGTGCTATTTTATAAGCTTCTGAATAATGAAGATGGAAGGCGTATTGTTAAATTAAACTAAATCTGCCATGATTAATGTGATAATTAGAACTAGGACCATTCATGCAACAATATATTGATAATATACTAGACTCCCATTAGATTTGTTTCAATGTTTGCCATCAGTCTTTTTTTCATTTTTAAATTGTCTCTTGCTTTTATGTGACATTTTATAGCAAAGAAAAAAAAAGCTATTTCTTTCTTCACTCTGTATTTCCTATCACTGATTTTTTGGGGCTTAAAGGCAAGTGCTTGTGTTTAAAGGTGCTGATCTATATGCTGTTGAAAAACCCTGTCTTGGATGTTTCTAGTGAAAAAAAAGAGAGGTTTCTTGAGAATTCTGGTGTCCTGAGATGAGCACAGGACAGTCTTTATGATTACAGCAGCAGTTGTTAGATATAAGTCTACAGTATCCAGGTGAGATTTTCCACTGAATCAAGGGTGAGAATTGGGCATAAACTAAACCATAATCCAAATAAACACAAAAGACAATTTAATGTGTAACACCATTTTTCTGCTCGAATAAAACCAGAAGAAATACAATCATTTCCAAAATAAATGCCTCTCACCCCTGTTTCTCCCTGGCAGTATAGATATCTGATATCTACAATGTACAAAATGTCTAGTATCTAAAATCTAGCAGCTACTAAATAAAGTTTATTAGGTGTGTTGGCTGTTGAATCTGAGATGACTGTAATCCGGGTCTCAGGTGTACCACAATTTCTTTCATTCACCTTCACCACTAGAACATCATTCTCTGGTAACTAGACCAAGAAACATACAAACTAGGAAAAAAGGTACATGACCTCTGACCATAAACATCTGCCAGATTTTGCAAAGAAAACATTAATATCACAGAGACCATCTGTTTGTCACCTACTTTTCTCACCTCCTGGTCCATCTCATGTCCCTGGTCACTGTTAACATCTGTTACTTATTGGTTCCTTGCTTCTCATTACCCTATATATAAATGCCCCTGGGTTGGTCCTTGGGTTTTGTGAAGCCATCATTTACAAGATAGTTAATAAAGCGTCTCTGCACTTACACCCACCCATCATTGTCTCAACCAGAACCAACGGGATGTATATACATAGACCCAAGGCTAATGAGGCTAATTACAAGGAAATGGGGTCAGGGCAAGACCTGGAGAAAGCAAGCATTTATTGCAGTAGTGTCCTCTTACTGGAACATTTTACTGTGGGATGGAAATTTACTGTAATACCTGCTTGGTCATAAATTCTCACTTTTTTTTTTCTACAATCATACATGAGGGCCAGCCCTTAAATCACTGTCCATGGTGCTGAAAGTTAACTTTGTGGTGGTAAAAGTTCTGAACATTTTAATTCACAGATTCACATTTTAGTGTTTTCCTGCTCTAACACACTCACTTCAACTCAGGAAGGGCTGATAATTAGCTGAATAGTTGAATTAGATGTGTTGGAAATAGAAAAACACATTAAAATGCGGTAGTAGGGTTCACCAGGACCAGCGTTAGGGACCTGTGGTGTAGTCAAAAACCTAAAAATAAATAGGGCATGAGCTGATATTTCTATAGACAAAATCTTGGATTGGACTTGTTTGTCTCCATGGATTGGACTTGTTTGTCCAGCACATCCCACAGATGCTTGATCGGATTGAGATCTGGGGAATTTGGTGGCCAAGTCAACATCTTGAACTCTTTGTCATGTTCCTCAAACCATTCCAAACATTTTTTGCTGTTTGGCAGGGTGCATTATCCTGCTGAAAGAAGGCATGCAAACCAGGAACATTGTCATTCTGGTACATGTTTGGACCTGTTAGTTCCAGTGATTGGAAATTGTAATGCTACAGCACACAAAGACATCCTATACAATTGTGTGCTTCCAACTTTGTGGCACCAGTTTGAAGAAGACCCACATATGGGTGTGATGGTCAGGCGTCCACATACATTTGGCCATATAGTGTGACTACAGGCATACACATCTACTGATACAACACACACCGTGTTTAGAATAGTCTACAATCCATAAATATGGCAATTCACAATTTAAAATGTCTAAATAAATAACCATATCAGCCAATCCTATATTTTATAATTGATAAATATAATATATTTAAGTTTTTTTTATAACAATTATAGTCAGCTGATCCATTTTCTGTTCAATAATCCATACAAAAACACATAGAAGCATGTTTTAAAAGCAGCACCATTTTTTTTTTTTAATTAATGTTCTATTGCAACTCATTAAGCAGCTTGTAGCCTGTGACCACATAATAGTATTATGATGAGTGGCTTGAAGTGTATGTACTCCTCTTTTGGGCATTTTAATGTATGTGTTATGGGTTGTAGTTCTGCAATGAATAAGACACTAGACTGGCAAATTTGGAAACATATGCTGTATTACTTAGAAAAAAAAAAAAATCTGTTCATCATTTTTGGTTTAAACTGCCCTCTCTCGGCTGATGTGTATTTTGTCAATGAACGTGTGAACATTTGACTCACTCTCACTCTTCTGGCTCCAATCAGGCCAATTCACACCAGTGGTTCTGAAGCAGTGCAGCGTGCGTCACACACAGCAGTTAAGCTTCCATTCTAACAAGTGTTTCAATCCATAGCAGCAGTGTTAGAGACGAGTGAAACACGAGCCCTTGCTCACGTCATTGACACGTAAAAACTCAGCAATTAACTTGAGTCACAAAATCACACTTTCTATACACTGTGAACTCCACTTAGTTTGGGAGTGTAGCTGTATGATTCGGTTGCTAGGTATGGGTAGGCATGGGAGTGCCTACGGCTTATAAAAAATGCCATTATGCACAAATAAGCTTCCTGTGCTCAAAAGAGCAGAACACCAGCGAGTACTGATCCAATATAAGCACTGGTGAGTGTCAGTGTAAGTTATGAAGGGTTAAAACGCAAAGTGCTAGAATCCTATTGTTATTTTTCTTATCATTTTCTTTTAAAAACATGATGGGGAGTAATGACCATAAAGTCTAGAAACAAAAAAAATTGCTTAAAAAAATTGCAATAACCTCCAAAACTCCAAAAAAAGGCATGTAAAGAGACGTTTATTGTCACGGTTCTACCTGCCTGATTAGGAACGCCTGCATTTTGCTTCACGGCTCGTTTTCAACACTGTGTATTTACCCACCTATCAGTGTTTCTTCTTGTGCTTGCTCTTCACCATTTCCTTGTTATTGTCTCGCATGTATCGCATGTTTGCTCGTTTATTCTGTTAGCTTAGCCTTTTGCTTAGCCATTAGCATCTTATGTTACCTTGCCCTACTGTCTTACTTTTAGCTGTGTTACAGTATCTGTCTTGCCCTGAACCTAGAAGTTAGTTTAAATCTACTTGCTGTTTTGCTCTGGCTTGCCTTGTTAAATATTTGGTCTTGTTCTAAGATTAACATGTTTAGTAGTTTGTTTTTATTCTGCCAAAGTATGCGAACACCTGACAAATCACACCCATATTACCACATATTATGTTAGGTTCCACTTGGTTGTTGAACATCCCATTATAGGTTTTGCCCCCCTTTACTGGTATAATAAATCATGTTTTCAGTTCCCACATGCTGTTTATGAATACCTTTACAGAATTGTAGTGTTTACCTCTATCCTTGGGGATTGGACTTTTAATGTCATTTACATTTATGGCATTTGGCAGACACCCTTATCCAGAGCAACTTACATTTATACAACTGAGCAGTTGAGAGTTAAGGGCCTTGCTCAATGGCCCAGCAGTGGCACCTTGGTGGTGCTGGGGTTTGAACTCATGACCTTCCAATCAGTAATCCAACATCTTAACCACTGAGCTACCACTCTACCAAAATGCAGAAGTGTACAGTAAAAAATTGGCTTTAGCCAAACAGACAACTAAAAGTTTTGAGTACTGCGATTTTGAGCTAATTTGCATAACATGTTAGAATCAGTCCCTAGTTAGAATCAATCCAAGGCCATTCATCTGAACCACATGAAATTTGGCAAATACTGTTAAAAGGCCCTGGAGGCAAAAAAAAAAAAAAAAAAACTAAAAAGAATTTTGATTGGCCAAACTGTCCGCATGATACAGACCAAAGAACTGATAAAGTGTCACCCTATATAAATATAAATAGTATATACTATATAGAATAAAATGAGATATATCTTGTGAATTTAATGTTTGATTTTCATGAAACTGTATATACAGTATACAAAAGACATTCTGTCTCTCTCTGTCTCTCTGTGTCTCCAGCATTCCAGTCATTTTTGGGAAAGAAGGATGTGAGTGCAGAATTGGAGGAGGTGTATGGAGAGATTAGAGTGCAGAACACTCAGCAGTCTGTGTCTTTCTTCCGTCTCTTTCGTAATCCTTCTATCCGCTGGCAGCTCATCACTGTCATCACCATCATGAGCAGCTATCAGCTGTGTGGCCTTAATGTTGTGAGTGCACACTGCTACACTATCACACTCGTAATTACATGCTATCACACTGTCATAGTACCACCCTGTCACACACACACTACCACACTATCATACTATCACATTCACATTACCACACTGTCATACTACCACATGATCACACTGTCATACAAACACACTATCACATTCACATTGCCACACTATTTTACTACCACATGATCACACTGTCATACAAACACACTATCACATTCACATTGCCACACTGTCATACTACCACATGATCACACTGTCATACAAACACACTATCACATTCACATTACCACACTGTCATACTACCACATGATCACACTGTCATACAAACACACTATCACATTCACATTACCACACTGTCATACTACCACATGATCACACTGTCATACAAACACACTATCACATTCACATTACCACACTATTTTACTACCACATGATCACACTGTCATATTACCACACTATCACACTCACACTACCACACACTATTGTACTACCACATGATCACACTGTCAAACAAACACACTATCACACTCGCACTACCTACCACACTGTCATACTACCACATGATCACACTGTCATAGTACCACACTATCACACTCACACTACCACACACTATTGTACTACCACATGATCACACTGTCAAACAAACACACTATCACATTCACACTAACACACTATCTTACTACCACATGATCACACTGTCATAGTACCACACTATCGCACGCAAACTACCACACTATCATACTATCATATGATCACACTGTTATAGTACCACACTCACACTATCACACTCACACATGATCATACTGTCATAGTACCACACTATCAAGCTATCACATTATCATATCACCACACTATCACACTGTCATAGTACCACACTATCATACTCACACTACCACACTATCATACTACCACATGATCATACTGTCATAGTCCTACACTATCACACTGTCATATCACACCATCATAGTACCACACTATCGTAGTCCATATGATCACACTGTCATACTTCCACACTATCACACTATCATACTACCACATGATCGTACTGTCATAGTCCTACACTATCACACTGTCATGATATCACACCGGCATAGTACCTCACTATCGTAGTACCATATGATCACACTGTCATACTTCCACACTATCACATTCACACTGCCACACTATCATACTACCACATGATCACATTGTCATAGTGCCACACTATCACACTCTCACTACCACACTATCGTACTACCACATGATCACACTGTCATAGCAAGGCACTATCACACAACCACATTATGACACTACCACATTACCACCCTGTCACACTCTCATACTAACACACACTTACACACTCACACTAATACATTACACACATGGGCACACTTGTATTAATACACTATAACACTATTACCCTTACACTATCACACTATACACACTCCATATTAACATTGTTACACCACACTACATACACACATACTTGCACACCTCACAAGTGCTTAATTGTGTTGTTCAGAGTATCTGGCTTTCCATAACAAGTACTGAAATCTGTTATAAATTACACACACACACACACACACAATATAGCTAGCTCTGTCTAGAAACATTAGCAGAATTACAAATGTGAAGTGACGTAATTACACACATTTCCCTTTTCATGAACTGTGACCACATCTCTCTGTCTGACTGTCTCTTTCACTGTTTCTCTCTCTCTTTCGTCCTGTCTGTCTCTCTGGGCCAAATGTACTAAACTCTTTTAGGTATAATTAGGCATAATTCTGCATGAAAAACTATGCGTGTTATATGCAAAACTGGAGTATGAGCCTAGACGTACAATTTAAGCACCATGCCTGTCGCAACAAGCAAAGTCCGCTTCCCCCCTACACATAAGCATTGAGATTGCACACAAGTCAGCACAAAAAAGTGTGGAGAAATAGGAAGTGTGGCTGATTACATATTCTGTCGTAAACTTTGGGGAATTAGCAGCAGGCATGTGATTTTGTCATCAATAAAAATAGGCATAAATTAGCACCAGCTAAGCAGTGTTGCCAGGTGAATGATTTTCATTTAATGGTTTTACAATGGGTAATAATACCATTTTAGGACCTTGGTATAAGAATATTCAGGAAAGCTATGATTTAACAGGTTTTGCTTGTCAGTTGGACTGCTCTTGTCACGCTGATCTGGCAAATGGACATAACCCATACGTCAGAAAGACATTCAAAGACGTCAAAGACGCTCATGGAGCTTATTGTGTACACAGCAGCCTATTCATTGAGCCCTCGACACTCGCATGTTCTGACGCGAGAGTCTTTATTTAGTAAGAACGTCAATTATTAACATAATATCTTCATTACTGAACGTGCATTTTCTCTTCAGTCCTGAGCTCTTTGGCATCTCTGTAGTTGACCATTTCTGTAATGAGCTACAGCCTTATTGAATTAATTTCAAGTGCGTTTTGTGACTCCATCGAGTTGCATTTTGCACTGTGCTTCCTGATATACATACATTTGATGCATGTCTCTTTTTTATGTCTCTTTCTGTGTTTCTGTGTGTGCCTCTTTGTGAAGTGCTGTTAATAAGAGTGCAAACACACATAGGAGACACACTTGGGAGAGGAGGACTAGAGAGAGAGTGACAGAGAGAAAGAGAGAGACAGAGAGAGAGAGAGGAAGTGGAGTGTAATATGTAAAAACTGATTGCAGATTTGCATACAGATGTGGAATCTTGGCATTTGCATTACCCAAGAGAGGCGAATGAGTATTAGGAAAACAAACAAACCATATATTGTTTATTTCCATGTATTTATTCCTAATGTGATACATATTCACATATTCATAACCCGACTGCAGCAGTCAGTTTAAGCCCATTTTAAGCCAGTACTGGTTACTGCACCAGCCATAACCTGATAAAGTGGTGCTGCAACCCGGAGCCAGTTATTTTCCACCACAAAATATTTAATTTCCTTATACCACAGCAATTTGCCAATTACAATTTGGATACTTTTTATCCCTTTATAGTAACATTTAATGCTGTAATGTTGCATAAACAGTCATTTCCTTACCCGCTTCTTACTGATAAGCTGCAAAGTGCAGTGTTTTCTATCCTGAGTCAGAAAGCTTAATGTTACAGGTTTAGCTATGACTGTTACAAAGCACTGACACTAAAGAGACTCTTTCCATAAATGTTAAATAAACACCTTACAGAAAACTGTACCGAATAAATAATTACAGTTTTTCTCATCTCAAGGTTTATTGTTCGATTTAAATTACGGAAGCATGCACCATGCAAGTGCCTGCCTGCCCACAATGCAAGTTAGCTGTTACTATAGAAACAATAAAGTATTAGAATGAGTACATTAATATAAACCTGGGATTTGAATTACAGCCAGAACTATTGTCAGAGCTGCTTTTATAGAAAATGAATCAACACTTTCTGAACATTCAGAATCAAGAGCGCAACAGTGTTGTGGTATAAGGAGTTCATAAATGCAGTGATTGAATTTGTGATTTTATTAATCACAAAAATCCAGCTGTGCTTATAACATCAGTTGCACCAGTACAAGAGAATACTTATTTCCTTTATAAGATGTAATAAGAACATTCTTCTTATTACATTTTTCTTATTAGCAACACGTGAAGTGGCTACATCATATTAAATATGGATTATTCTAAAAAAATATGCATTTGGATAAGCTTTAAATTGTTTTTATATTCTATTTAGAGCTTGTAACTGTAATGAAATACTTTTTGAATGAATTAATAATTTGAATAAATTATTCTATTAAATCCTTTTTTTAGTACAAATTATTTTACAGGAAGTTGTAATTCCAATGAGACATCTAAATTATAGAATAGAAAATAGAATTTACAAGTAAATTATGAACAAATAGAGTGTGGAGGGAAACTCGTTGGGCGCTGGTTGAAATAGCCACTCACTGGTTTGAACTTTGACCCTCGTAGCACTTATCCACAACTTTTTATGATTTCAAAATACGATTTTTAAAAAAATAGCTAACACCAATGACATGAAACCCATGGACAACGTGAGTATTTTAAAATTCCGTTTGCTGAATTTCTTTAACAGTATCTAACTACTGGGTTGTCACTGGTGGATTGCTTTAGATCCATTTTCTTGTAATAGCTTTTTGACTTTCACTTCTCTCTCTCTCTCTCTCTCTCTCTCTCTCTCTCTCTCTCTCTCTCTCTCTCTCTCTCTCTCTCTCTCTCTCTCTCTCTCTCTCTGAAATGCATCCTGTAAAATCCCGAGGTATCTCAAAGCCTAAAATAATAGAGAATAATTTCTGATATCTTTCCAGTACAAGTCCCATATTAGACAAGATCAGACGTGTTATCAACCGTGCTTTCACCAGCATGAACATCCAAAAATCCACAAAGTACCGAACAGCA